AATAAGCCACCACTGTGGCAAAAAATAAAATTATTTTGAACTAAAGACATTTGAGTTTCTAAAATCCCTTATCTAAGAACAGAGCCTTCCAAAGGAATTCGCTTGTCATAAATCCCGTCCCCTGAAGCAGCTCATTTTCCCCTCTGAGAGGGAAGTTGGTGTAGAAAAATAAAAAATAATTTTCCCACCCTAAATTCTTGGTTGGAATCCCTGCAACCAAAGCAGAAGTTTGTTAACATGTATATGTCATGTGCACAAGGGAGAGGCCCAGGGAGACTGGTAGCTCTGGGAGAGTAACGGATGAAGCGGAGCAGAACTTACCCCAAAATATGCCTCTTTGACATAAAAATTATTTTAGGTCCATTAGTTTTTAGAAACAGCAGACACAGAAGAAGATCCAAAAACCAAGTAGAAGTTGCCTTTTTGTAAGAGACATTTACATTTGTAGTAATAATAATAATGATGATAATCCTATATAATAAAGAGGTAATATACAAATTGACCCTCATGCCCTCACAAGATGGCTGCCTATGACCAGGCCCGCAGGGGTGTTAGTGAGGGACGACCAAAGGACTGAACAGCAGGCTGCGTGGGGGGTGCTGTGAGGGGAGACCAGGCCAACAGAGGGGGGAAGTACAAACGACTGAACAAGCAGGCTGCGTGGGGTGACCAGGCCGGCAGGGGGGTTAGTGAGGGACAACCAAATGACTGAATAACAGGCTGTGTGGGGTGACCAGGCCGGCAGGGGAGTTAGTGGGGGGCGACAAACAACTGAGCAGTAGGCTGCGTGGGGCGACCAGGCTGGCAGGAGGGGCAGTTGGGGGAAACCAGGCTGGCAGCGGGGGCAGTTAGAGGCAATCAGTCAGGCAGGCAGGAGAGTAGTTAGGAGCCATTGGTCCCGGATTGTGAGATGGATGTCCCAAATTGACTGGAGAGGAGGCTGGGCTGAGGGGACGCCCCCCCTCCCGTGCACAAATTTCGTGCACCAGGCCTCTAGTAGTAGTAATAATAATAATAATAATAATAATATACATTTACGCATTTTAAAATGGAACTAGAGCTGCAATCACAGAGGAACTGCCTTATACGTTTTATGTCTCACACCTTTGGGTGGAAGACTGTCCAACCTCAGAGGGAAGGGGGGGGAGGTGAGGGGAAGGGGAGAGAGGGAGTAAGAGATCAACCAAGGCCTTGTATGCATGCATATAAGCATAACCAATGGACTCCGACTCTATGGGGGTGAGGAAATATGCTGGGGGGTGGGAGCAGCAGGGGAGAGGTCAATGGGGGAAAAAGAAGACACGTAATACTTTAAACAATAAAGAATTTAAAGTTTTTAAAAAATCCTATGACTTTCAATTTTAAAAAAAAACACACACAACCCTTTGGGTGTTTTAAAAAAGGTAAAATAAACTCTGGACTTGGCCTAAAGCAACCTTATGCCCCAGAAAACAGTTTGCAAGGATAACAAGAAAGCAGATATTATGGCTACTGTACTGATGACTACTGGATTGAAAATTAAAAACAGTCTCTTTGTTATATTAGGTGTACCGGTTAATGCGGATGTTTTCACTAGA